GGCGGCGGCCGCGCCCAGCCCGTGCTGCGCTTCCTGCACCTCGTGCGCCGCGCGCAGCGCACCGCGCTCGCTGAGTACGTACACAGATATACACAGTACAAGCACACGTATACGTACACGAACGCAAATAAACACAATACGAGCACACGTAGACGTACACGAACACAAATAAACACAATACGAGCACACGTAAACGCACACATACACAAAGAAACACAATACAAGCACACGTAGCCGCACACATACACAAATAAACACAATAACAAGCACACGTAGCCGCACACATACACAAATAAACACAATACAAGCACGTATACACGAACACAAATAAACACAATAACAAACACACGTTTTTTACTATAACTTTTTCACCCTTTTACTAATAAGTAAAGGATCGAAAGAGAAAGGGGAGACGCATAGGAAGGCGAAAAATCTTCTTTATGTGCGTTTTCTCCTCCGTCGATTAAGGATAGGCAACGCATACGCTATTTCAAATATTTTGAAACGACGGCGCGAAACAGAAAGCAATTAAACGCATCCTTTAAATATGCTTGTACGAAAAAAGTAGGTTAGTGATACACGGTTAATCTCTGTTTATAATTATCCTTTTGTTTGTGCCATTCACTGCTTTCTAATTGGTTACTTGTAAGAGGCGGAGTTTGTCTCGTTGCAATGAATAAGACAGTATTACAAAGTGGAACACCACGGATTTTCGCGACTGTGCACAAACAAGCAAACACAAGTACATAAGTATGTATACATATTAGGACACGTATACGTATACGCCCAAGTACAGGATCATGTACTGTAAATATTTGATCGCCGATATACTTGAGGGAATAAAAATGAAAGAGATTTTTGCCTGGAGGGAATGCGTGTACTTGATGCTATCTACAGATTTTGAATGTCAATTTTTAAAAAGTATTTTACGTGACGGTGAACTCGAAACTTAGCCGTTGCTATTAAAATTATGGCAGGCGCTCGCGACCAATATATAAAAACGTTATTTCATGGACATGTATATGTTTTTGATTTTTAGCGTGATAAAATTTGTAGGAATTATAGAAATTAGTTTGTATATTGTATGCTAAAATGTTATGTGTTTGTTTTCAGTTTAGGGGACGCGTGGGCAGGTCACAGCCGGGGACCTCCGATAGTCGTGCACTGCTCCGCCGGCATCGGTAGAACTGGTCAGTGGAATTGAAATAAATAAAAACCTCTTTATTGCCTTGCTTAATTAATCACTTTTATTATGTTTGACGACGTATTTAAAACTACTGCTGGCTTATCAATATCATCACCAGTTCATTATATGTCCCTACTAAGGGGCTCGGAGCCTAACCTAAAGTAAGGGATGACTAGGTTATAGTCAACCACTGCGGGTTGACTTCAAACATATCTTTGAATTTCTTCGCCGTTATGTGCAGGCATCACGATGTTTTCCTTCACCGTAAGGACGTCGGGTAAGTTATGTACATATAAAAATCGAAAATCATATTAGTACATGTCGGGATTCGAACCCAAGACCTGTAGATTACAAGTCAAGTGCTCAAACCTCTGAGTTACCGACGCTCTTATGCTGGCTTAAGCGTGTCATTATTATCATACTTCGTACTGATATTATAAATGCGAAAGTTTAGATGGATGGATAGATGTTTGTTAGAGTTTGTAGCCTAAACGGCTGAACGGATTTCGATGAAATTTGGTACAGACGTACAGTATAGTCTAAAAGAATACATAGACTACTCACTTTTGTTTTTATTTAATTCCACGTAGACGGAGTCGCGGGAAAAAGCTAGTGAAAAAATAAAGTTATATATTTATAATTGAAATGTATGATGATTTAATAATAATAAAAAGGACTTTTATTGCCACAAAAACAAGCTACAAATGAAATCTTTCATACATCAACCTTAAAGGTAATAAAAAAAGAATATGTGGCAAAAGGCGGCAAGCTGTATGCAATGCAATTTGTATGTGTGTAGGCACGTTCATAACGCTGGAGGTGTGCACGTCGCGGCTGGCGGCGGAGGGCGTGGCGGACGTGCGCGGCGCGGTGGAGCGCGTGCGGGCGCAGCGCGCGCACTCCATACAGATGCCCGACCAGTACGTCTTCTGCCACCTGGCGCTGCTCGAGTACGCGGTCAGTACTTCTTCATTCACATACTTTTTGTTTTATGCGATTTTTTTTCTTTTTTAAAGTATATTTTTCTGTGTGTGTATCAAATTTATGTAAAAGATACTAGAGTGCGATAGAGCCAGCTGAAAACTAGCGCAGGAATGGCTGCATGACTGCCATTTGCCACAATTTTATAATATAATGCCATTAAAATATATGAATTTCCGTTGTTTTTGAGTTATTTCAATATATACAAAAAACAATCTTCCCTCTATGTAATATTAGTGGAGATTAGAATACTTTTATTTTAATCTATCTGTTTAATGTAGG